TAGACAAGTGGAGGACAAATGAAGAAGTAGCAGGCCTCAAATTCTACATGAAAAGCATCTGAAAGTCATACCCTTAATAAACAATTCAGCTAAGAAGTGAAACAGGGCCTGAGAAGTGCATTTTTCTGGAGCCTCATCAGAAAAGATCTCAAGAAGCCATTTTAAAGGAGGGGAATTTGTGATAAAAGGCCAAACTACACAAGGAATGAACTGAAACTCATCGGCTACAGGTCCGATGGACTGATGAATACATGAATTTGAAATTCGTGGCTCAAATTATTGTCAGTACACATGGTGGATGTCACAAGAGATGCCCCTTTTTCTAGAAACAAAAAAAGAAATGAGGGGTGATGCAAGACTTCTGCACAGTACTGCACGTACACAAACAAAAACTACAATCTACCATCGAAGGACTCACAATTCTGTCCAGATAGAGACAAATACCAGACTAATTGTTCACATAATGGTCACAACCCACATTTGACTCTATTTTCTTGGCCAAGCTGTCCTAATGCCTTTCACTAATTTCTGATTCTTTTATATCACAATTAGAAACATTATGACACCAAAAAGAGATTTTTAACAACTAAATTATATTTTTTAAAGACACCTAACCAATTTCACTTGTATTTACTGTGAAATTAAAAGGAGATGACAAACAGCATGGAAAGAATAAAGTCATCTGTGCTTCATGTGTTAAAACAGAAGTACAAAACGCACGCAAAACACTTTCACACGTCAAGAGAAACAGTCTGGAAAGTCATGAGAACAAAGGGCAAAAAGTCAAATGGGCCTGAGAAAGAGGAACAGTGGTCACAACCTGAAACTAACTAACGTCACAGACATTAAAAAGGGAATTCAAATTAAGCTAGTTGACACCTTACTCAGTGTTCCACTGATTTAACATGGTTCCTCGGGGGATTTACTTTATAATAAAAGACTTGTAATCACAGAATAAAGCATGAAGCACTGCAAACCCCCTTCTGAGTTTTCACTGTAATAAATACGTCCAAAAACCACTGACATTCACAGACGTATGTCGTCAGAAACGTTACAGTTTCCACACAGAAAGAGTTTCGCCCAGTATTCCTCTTTTATTTTAACCTTTGATGTTGAAGCTCTTAATGCCTGCTGTACCGAGTTCCACCACACAGAGGCAATAAAACCACATCCTATCGTCATCTTGCTGGCAGTTCACTAAACAGTTGGAGTGGAAATTGCTGACATTCATCTAAGCAGACAGCCATATGTGATGACATTTAATTAATCTAGATTTAGCAGTTACATAGTTTTACTTAGACGTACACACTTTGACATTTTGCTGGCTGTAAAACTAAATAATTCAGCTCAGTGTATTGCAGAAGTTGGTCTGCAACACACCAACAGTTTTAGGTTCATCTTTTACCTTAACTCAATAAATGTGTATCTTACTTGTCTCTCAAGCCCTTGAAGATCTGCACCATGGTGTCAGTGATAGAGTCGATCACTTCGTGGTAATGGTAGTTGAAGGCCATCTCAATATCCAGACCCACAAACTCGGTCAGGTGACGGTGCGTGTTGGAGTCTTCCGCCCTGAAAACTGAAATGACGCTGATTTAATACGAGTGCCTAAACAAAAGCAAACTGCGGTGGCGTGGAAGCAACGAAAGGTTTCTGCACATCTCCGGGAATAAAGTGTCATTTCCATTGTACTCGAAATTCCTAAATTTGGACGGCTCACAAAACAGAAGCCCATATAAAGGATCATCGAGCTTACAACCTGGCTTCTGAATCACCGCCACGTAAAGGTTTGTGAAACAATGACGATGTGTAGATGAGCGGCATTGAAAGTTGACGATAATCAAAACGCACTGTGAAATGTAGGTGCTTGCACTAT